ACCTTACCTTAACCCCTCCTACCCACCCCTACCCCAGGTAGACTCAATTGCCCTCTGGGTAATCTAAGGTCTGCTGGGCCTCATTCATACCTCTGGTTACTTGTTTACCTCCTCCCACTGGACCATGAGTTCCCTGTAGGGGTCCCCCTACTTGTTGAACAAATTACAATAAAGTCCCATAAAAATCCAAACCCCTTAGCCAGGCCTTTGGCAGCCTAGCTCAGAGCACAGACTCTGGAAGCCTCCGCCTGGATTCAAATACTGGCCCCAGGGGCGCCTGGGTGGCTCAGTCAGTTAAGTGTCTGATTCTTGATTTCGGCTCAGGTCACGACCTCACGGTGGTGAAATAGAGCCCTGTGTCAAGTTCTGTGCTCAGCACAGAGTCGGCTTGAGATTCTCTCCCCCCTTCCTCCATCCCTCCTGCCCCACCCCCCACTCGCATGGTCTCTAAATAAATAAATAAAATCTTTAACAACAACAACAAAAATACCAGCTCTACTGTTTAATTGCTGTGTGACCTTGACTGAGTCACTTAACTTCTCTGAATCCCAAATGGGAGTACTGAGTATTAACACCAACTTTTAATATTGTTGTGAGGGTTGATTATGAGATGATGACCTTATGTGAAGCTGCTGGTATACAGTAAACGCTCAATAAAAAGTGCTGTTCTTAGGCTACCCATCTGCTAGAAGGACATGCTCTTCTCCCACAGCTTCTGACACTTCCCAGCAGCAGACAGAGGGCCCCCAGATGGGGCCAAAGGAGCTCCATGCCTCCCCGGTTGTGGTGAGCAGAGCAGGGGGCTGGGGCCGAGCTGCCCTCCCCTCACCACCTGCTGCTCCACCCTCAAAGTAGCACCAGACCTCACTGGCCACGGCGGAGCTCCGGACAGAGAAGAAAATGCCATTTCCTCCGCTGTGTCATCCAAAGGTCTGTATCTCACACCAGAAGAACACAACACAACCAACCTCTCATACTGGACGGCCATTTCATAGAGGAGGCAACTACGGTTCAGGGTAGAGACATCTCTCATCCAAAGCTACCCTGCAGTAAGAAGCAGAGACTAACTTTGAACCCACTGGTCTGCCCCTGGCACAAGCCAGGCTGCCTCCAGGAGAAGGTGCTATCGCCCTGAAAGGGGGCCAGACAGGCTGGACCCTATGCCCACGCCCCACTCAGCACCGGCCTCGACCACCTGTCTGTCCCTGTTGCAGCCCTGGCTCAGTTCTTCTCCTGCAGCTGGCACCCGCTGCCATAGCAACGGGTGGTTTCAGAAGCTGCACTGGCTGCTGAGTCAAGGATGGGCCCTGGAGGAGGGAGCAGCTGTGGGCTCCTTCAGTCAAGGCAGGTGGACACCTGGAGCCACCGCCGCACTCCCACAAGCCCCTCAAAGCGCTGCAGGCCCCCAAGTCCCAGTGCCGGCCCAAATAAATCATCAGAAATGAGGAGAAACCAGAGGCACAGCAAGGTTCTCTGCAGCAATACTTAGAGCAGCACACAACCGTACATGTCAATAACAGGTAACACTTTTGAGTGTTTATCTTGTACAAGGCACTGTGCTAAACGCCAAGCATGTGTCATCTCATTTGCTCCTCACCACCCCGCTGTCGGTAAGTGCTCCCCCCCATACCCCTCCAGTTTGCAGGTTAGGAAATGATGCTCAGAAAGGTGAAGCCGCCTGCCCAGGTCATTCAGATAGAGGCAAAGCCAGGACGGAATGCCAGGCTGGCCACCTCCAGTATTCGTACGCTCAACTACACGACGGTGGTCGGAAATGAGAAAAGGAAGTCCCAGCCCATCCTCTGGTCCCGGCAGCGCCCGTGGCCGTGACAAATATGTCTGCAGCCCACTGTGAGCCAGGGCTCCGGAAAGGCACAGATTCGGCAGAACAATGTGTACCAACTTGGAAAGATCTCTAAATGCTATAATGCTTGAGAAATAAACAAAGTACAGATCCCAGAACGATGAAGCATAGAATGGGCTTATTTAAATATGGGTGCCGCAGAGGTGTAGATGTTCACAACCAGGGGGCTGGAGGGATTCCAAGCGCGAACACCGATTATCTCCAGACAAAGGCAGTGGGGTCTGGAAGAATTTAAAGGGACTTCCTCTTTCTGTGTTCACAAATCAACGGTGAAAAAAAATTTTTTTAAGTAAACTCTATGCCCAACATGGGGCTTGAACTCACGACCCCAAGATCAAGAGCCACGTGCCCCGGGCACCTGGGCCGTTCAGTGAGTTAAGCGTCTGACTGTCTGACCCTTGATTTTTGGCTCAGGTCATGATCTCAGGGTCATAGGATCGAAATCTATGTCAGAATCTGCACTGCTTAGGATTCTCTCTTTCCTCCTCCCTCAGTCCCTCTCCCCGACGCTCACATGCTCTCTCTATATATACACCAACTGAGCCAGTCAAAAAAGCCAAGTCATACATTTGACACACACAGTCCTAATCTAGGTGAAGAAAAGATATGTATGTACAGGAAAGAGATGAGAGGAAAGACATACCAAAAAGTTGGCATTTGGAGTTTTTAAAATTTCTAATTTTCTTTTTTTTTTTTTTAAAGATTTTATTTATTTATTTGACAGAGAGAGATCATAAGCAGACAGAGAGGCAGGTAGAGAGAGAGGAGGAAGCAGGCTCCCCGCTGAGCAGAGAGCCTGATGCGGGGCTCGATCCCAGGACCCTGGGATCACGACCTGAGCCGAAGGCAGCGGCTTAACCCACTGAGCCACCCAGGCGCCCCTAAAATTTCTAATTTTCTATCATAAACACATACTAGTATCTTTTATTAAAAATTGTTTTTGAGGGGCACCTGGGTGGCTCAGTGGGTTAAGCCGCTGCCTTCGGCTCGGGTCATGATCTCAGGGCCCTGGGATCGAGCCCCGCATCGGGCTCTCTGCTCAGCAGGGAGCCTGCTTCCTCCTCTCTCTCTACCTGCCTCTCTGCCTGCTTGTGATCTCTCTCTGTCAAATAAATAAATAAAATCTTTAAAAAAAAAATAAAAATAAAAATAAAAATTGTTTTTGAGGGGCACCTGGGTGGCTCAGTAGTTAGGTGTCTGCCTTTGGCTCAGGTCATGATCCCAGAGTCCTGGGATCAAGCCCCCCCACTGGGGTCTCTGCTCAGAGGGAAGCCTGCTTCTCCCTCTCCCACTCCCCTTGCTTGTGTTCCCTCTCTTGCTGTCTCTCTCTCTCTCTGTCAAACAAATAAATAAAATCTTTAAAAATAATTGTTTTTAGTGATGTTTACAAAAGCAATGTAATAGCATTCTCATGCAATTGTAATACCAAATTGTGGTACATCACAGAGCAACTCACTTGTTCCCATCCCCGTTCTACAAATTTGCTCTTTGGCCTTGAACTAGTCTTCTCACCTCTCTGGGCCTCAGTGTCCACATCAGTAAAATGCGTATATATCAATAGCCTCTACCTCGTCAGGTTGTTAGGAAGATAAAGCGCTTAGTATAGTACCCAGCACACGGTAAGCAGGCTAGATCCTCTCACTAGCGTGATGCCAACAGGGAAGGGGCACAGGCAGACAGTGAGGTGTGCTTTCAGGACGGTCTGTCAGCATTTATGCACCGGTTCTGTCATTTACCAGATGTGTGATCTTGGGCCAGTCACCTTACCTCTCTGAGCTTCATGTGAATATTCAATCAAAACTGCCTAGCACAGAATACATATTCGAGGAATGTGGTAAAAATTCCACTTTGTGAGAAGGCTCCACCTTCTGCCTTGGATATAAACATGTGAGCTACTGGGGTGCCGGGGTGGCACAGTCCATTAAGCATCTGACTTGGATGGGGCGCCTGGGTGGTTCAGTGGGTTAAGCCTCTGCCTTCGGCTCAGGTCATGATCCCAGGGTCCTGGGATCGAGCCCCGCATCGGGCTCTCTGCTCGGCAGGGAGCCTGCTTCCACCTCTCTCTCTGTCTGCCTGCCTCTCTGCCTACTTGTGATCTCTGCCTGTCAAATAAATAAATAAATAAATAGCATCTGAGTTGGCTCCCACTCAGGTCATGATCTTAGAGTTGTGAGCTCGAACCCCACATCAGGCTCTGTAGCGCAGTCTATCTGGGATTCTTTCTCTCCCTCTCCCTCTGCCCCTACCCTTGCTCGTGATCATGCACTCTCTCTCTGTCTCCCTAAAATAAACAAATAAAATAAAATCTTTTATTTATTTATTTTATTTTATTTTTAAAAGATTTTTATTTATTTATTTATTTGACAGAGATCACAAGTAGGCAGAGAGGCAGGCAGAGAAAGAGGAGGAAGTAGGCTCCCCACTGAGCAGAGAGCCTGATGCGGGGCTCGAGGCAGAGGCTTTAACCCACTGAGCCATCCAGGCGCCCCTAAAATAAAATCTTTTAAAACAACATGTTAACTATTATTAATAAAATAACAATTTAATTAAAGGACAATGGAGAGAGAAGTAATAAATACAGGGAATATGGCTGGGCATTGACTCTCACTGTGTGAGCTTGGGGGAGTATGTTAACGTCCCTGAGCCTCAGTTTTCCCATCTGGAAACATGGGGATAACGTGCTATTGTTAACTCTAAAGGAAACACAAATTTAACATAAATGAAGTAATTTACTTTGCTCCTAAGGCGGTGCTAGGCACATTACTTTACACCATCATCTCACTTAATCCTTAAAACAACCCCCATTCAATTGGAATGAGTTATCCCCTTTTTACAGATGAGGAACTTAGTTTAAAAAAATATTCCAGAGTCACTCAGCTAGGAAGTGGACAGAGGCAAGGTCTGAACCCAGAACTCACCAACTCCAAAAGATAATGAACCCTCATAAGATATCAGCAAATGAAGTTCATTTTCTCGTTCCTGACATGGTGGGCCTCAGTTTACTCAGCATAAAATGGGTGTGAAGAACAATGCCCACTCAAATGCTCTCTAGCGTACCTCTATTAAACTCCACTGGCAAGCATGGCGTTAAGACTGGCCAAGTCCTCCCTAGCCCAACTTCTCAGACTCCACTTACCGGTCTGGGGAAGCTTTCTGGGTGGGATTTGTCTGGCTGGTCCTCGCTGAAGTCATCCGCACTCCTGTCTGCGCCCTGCTGCTGGGCGCTGGACACTGGGCCTCTCCTCGACTTCTTAGCATACTTGGAACTTCTCTGTCCCATGGATGGGCCCGAGTGAGCCCTGCTGGTTGTAGGCTCCAAGGAGCTGGAGGGGCTGTCAGTGGGAGCAGGGGGTCCTTCTCCCAGCCTCCCCCTGGACTCTGGCTGAGCCTTGACCTCTAGCTCCTCCTGAATGTGTGAGACAGCAGGGCCATCATCACAGCCAGCCCCGACTAGGTGCTCAGCTTCTCGCCACACTGTGGAGGCCTTTCCAGATGCTCCAAGGCCTAGTGCAGAGCTAGGATCCCAGACAGCTGGCCTGAGGGATTCCCCTCCATCAGGTGGTAGGACCCCTACAGGGTCAGAGGGGCTGCCTGGCTGGACCCCGTTCTCTGCAGCAGGCAAATATTCAAACTTCGCAGTCCCTGAGACACATCCCACACAAGTTCCACCTGGATCTCCTGACCCAGGCCCAGTGTCGTTGGGAGAGAGAGGACCACAAAGGTCTCCCAAGGACCCCATGTCAGCCCCTGGTGGGGGGTCTCCCTCACACGGGGGATTGTCCCCACCAGGGCTCTGACCAGACCACAAGAAGCCTCCTGCCCCCTCCCCACCCTCTGAGCAGGTCTCATACTTCCTGCAGTTCTTTCTTGCCCCCATAGGGGCTGGGCCTGGGGAGGATGGTAGCCTCCTTTTGGGAGGCCGCTCTTTACTGAGGGTAGGGCCCCTTTCATCACTCCAACCTCCTCCCGCCTCTCCTGGCCCGGGGCAGCTCCTCCTCCTCCCCACCCCTCCCAGCCTCTCCCTGCCAACCAAAGCTCTCTCTGGAAAACCCAAACACACGGGACAAGGGTTCCTGGGCCAACTTTCAGCGAAGATGTCATGCAGAGAAACCTGGAGCCTCCTGAAGGCCGGAGCCTTCCCCTGAGCAGACATTCTGGGTGGCTGGGAGAGGAGCTGGGGGCCAGGCACCAACTCCTGACTCAGTCCCTTGCCTTGTAGCTCCAGGGCCATCGAGTGGGCCTCAGCCTCCAGGCCCGCCCCAGGAGCACCTCCAGCCTGGGAGCGGGTACCTCGATGGGTCTCTTCCCTCAGGACCCTCTTCCTGCTGCCAGGCCAAACTCGGACCCCAGAGCTTGCCCCTGGCCAGTGTGGTGTCAAGCCTGACCCGGAGCTGGCTTCCACATCGTCCTGGAAAAGTGCAGCCATGCAGTGGGGGCTGAGGGCAGGATCCTCTGAGCTGGAACCCTCTGGGGACCCCTCCTGAGACATGTCTGTCCGCCTACAGGGGCCAAAAGCAGAACGCAACCCCCGTGAGGAGACAGAAGGGAGACTGCGTCACATTGGTTTCTGGCTGCCAGCCCATTCAGGCCAGGGGCACCTGGGAGGCAGCCTCCCTGCCAGGGGCTGGACGGAGGCTCTGCCCCTCCTGAGGCCCAGAGACCACAGGGAGACAACAGCCAGTCACATAAGCCTCCCCACACTGTAAGTCCCAGGGGAGCAGGGGAGGCCTGCCACCAAACAAGGTTGAGCTACAGTGACCCTTAGGTCTTCTAATCTCCGAGAGGTCCCACTTTTGCTTAAATGGGATGTAACTGTAACAGGTGCTGTTTCTTAAGCAACTACTATGTGCGTTATTTCATTTCATGCCGGCAGCCACAGGGTAGGAAACTGAGATACAGGGACTTTAGCGACTCACCAAAGGACACGCAGGAGAGGAAGAGGGGATTCTCTCCCCCACCCAAAGCCCAGCTCCTAACCACTGGGCGGGGAGCAGGTAGTGACTGGAGCTAATCCCCCTCACGCCGATCCTGCTCCGACGGATACCCCCGCCAGGTTCCCAGGCCTGATGGGGACAGTCCCCTACTGCCCAAGCCGTCCAGGAGCTCTCACCTGGGCTCCCCGAGCTCCCCGCACCGAACCACCCGCAGGCTGGGAGGGAGCTGGGGTCACGTGAGGGGGCGGAGCCCGGGGGTGAGGGCAGGGGTGGGGCCTCTGAAGAGGCGCTGTGGACGGCACCCCAGGCGTACTGGCGCCCTGGCACCGGCAGAGGGCGCGCTCTTCCTCCCGAGGGCTTCCCGGCGGAGGTGCCAATCACTTGGGCTTCTGGGCAGGGGTGGGTGGGCGCCTGAAACAGAGGGCAGAAGCGTTGAGGGGTCTTGAATCTGTCTGACAATATAAACTTGGTCCCAGAGCCATGGGGAGTCACTAAAAGTGCCTGAACCCCAAGGAGAATCAGAATTACACTTCTGCCTAATTATGTATTATTTTCATTGTCTCAAATATAAAAATATTACTCATATGGAGGAAAATGCATGCCCAAGACCAACTGAAAGGTTAGAAATAAACTCAAACGTCCTCTCACTTCCCGACTCTTGAGAGTAAACTTTCTTCCTTTCACCATGTTGTTTTAGTTTTCTATTCATGCCGCTTTCATAACTGTAAGTGATCTTATACTCTATTACTAATTAATAATATTAATAATAGTCTCATACTCTATTACTTGACTTATTCGTGGGAATAGCCTCCCTGCCCTGGTGATTGCATTAACCACCTGTCCTCCTTTCTCTTCCCAGTTTTTCTCTTTCATATTTATATTACTATCGTTTCTATTGATTACTCTCACCCCTCGGAATAATAGTCTTAAATTGTCCACTTCTTCCTTAGATTGTGTGTCTTGACTCTCCTCTGCGTGAAATGAACTGTTTCCCTCCCCTCCCCACCACTCACCCCCCCCCCCCACCCTCACCCCCACCCCGCTGCCCTTCCTCCAGCCTCCCACCTTTTGTCTTTGTCAAGTTCTGTGGCACGCCCATTCCATCCTGGGAAGATGATTCAGTCTGCCATACTTTGCCTGTGGATTGATTCTTAACATTGAAACCAGATGACATTACAGCTACATAAATATTTTCAGTGCGGAACTAGGAATCTGATAGACATCATGGAGAAGGAAGTGAAATTCGCAGGCAGTAACCTGCACCACGTGAGGCCAGGAGCCGCTTTGGGGGCGGTGGAATAGCCCACCGCCACCAGAGCGAAGGCGCTAGATCTGTAGATCAGCATGGCTGTATCTCAGTGACATAATGTTGGATTTTAAAAAGCAAGATAACGTCAGGGCGCCTGGGTGGTGCGGTCGATGAAGGCTCCATCCAACTCTTGCTTTCCGCTCAGGTCCTGATCTCGGGGTGGGGAGATGGAGCCTGGCATCCAGCCCTGCCTTGGACTCCGCACTCAATAGGGAGTCAGCTGGAGAGTCTCTCTCTCCCTCTGCCTCTGCTTGCACATGCTCGCTCGATCTCTCTCTCTCTTTCAAGTAAATAAGTAAATAAATCTTTGAAAATCAAGATAATGTTAACAGTAAGGGAAACAGAGGGCCAGATGTATGGGAAATCTCTGTACTCATCTTCCATTTTTTTTCTGTAAATCTAAAACTCATCAAAAATAAGGTTTGCTATTAAAAAGAGAGCGAGAGAGAGAGAGAGTAGGTGTTTTGTGACCCATATGGAAAGCTGTCGGTCTCGATCTGGCTGTCAGGGTCACAAATGAGGTAAGAGTTGAGACTGGATGCCACTAATGACATCCAATACTGCTCGAAAGAAATTATTTTTTTAGGGATGCCTGGGTGGCTCAGTCAGTTAAGCGGCTGCCTTCGCTCAAGTCATGATCCCAGGGTCCTGGGATCAAGTTCTGCATAGGGCTCCTTGCTCATCGGGGAGCTTGCTTCTCTCTCTGCTTCTGCCTGCCACTCTGCCTGCTTATGCTCTCTCTGACAAATAAATAAAATCTTCAAAAAAAAAAAAAAAAGAAAGAAAATTATTTTTTTAAGTGAAAAGACTTCCCATCCTATGGAATGTTCTAGTCATTGTGGCAAAGACTTGATCAGGTCTCCTGAGACCAGGGAACTGTTATTCTGGTCCATTTTGATAATAGAAGTCTCCCGCCATTGGCAAAGAAAGGGGGAGTAGCGGTTATTAGTACCATGTGGCACTGAGGATAGAAAGACAGTGATCACTAATGTATATAATGCTACTTTGAGCCAGAGACTGATCTACGTGCTTTACCTGCATTTATCAATTTTAATTTACCTATTTAATCCTGATGCCAGACTCTCAGCTTTTAAATCACGTTCTTCAAATCGACAGTAACCCATAGTAACTTGGAACTGTAGAAACCGGTGTTGAAGGCAGAAAACAGTCACAAGGCGTTGGGTGTTTACCAGGTCATGGAAGGGCCACAAGAGTGCACTCTAAGCTGGGCTTGGGGACACCGCCACCAGAGCTGTCTACAGATACAGCCTGGTGGCAGCCAGCCAAGACAGGGACCCAGCACGGCCATTGCTGCACTGTGTCCCAACATTCACAAAACTGGAGGCCAGACACGGACACAGAGAACCCCAGCGGCTCCTGCACTGAGCCTGTAAGCAGAAGCCGCCCAAGGGAAAAGACACTCATCCGCCTTCCAGATCCCGCATAGGGGCACCCAGGGCCGGAACCGAATCCACATTTGGAACGCTAGCTGTAAGGGACTCTGGGAAATCGTTTTTGGCTTTCCATCTGCTGCGAGATAAGAAGGCACGCTAGCATGTGGGAACAGATGTGGAGTGACTCAGTCTGCGTTATCCTCTATCATATTTTAAATTACTTTTTATCTCCTCGATCTACCCATTTCTAAGAGGTGTGCATTTTTTTATTTTTTTAAAAGATTTTATATTTATTTATTTATTTGAGTGAGAATGAGAGTGGGGAGAGAGCACAAGCAAGGGGGAGCAGCGGTGGGAAAGGGAGAAGCAGAGCCCTTCCCCCGCCCGCCCCACCCCATCCCTGTCCCCCCAGCAGGTAACCAGATGTAGGGCTCCATCCCAGGACCCTGAGCCAAAGGCAGGTGTTTAAATGACTGAGCCACCCAGGTGCTCCATAAGATGTGTTTTTATTTTATTTAAAGATTTTATTTATTTATTTGGGAGAGAGAGAGCATGAGAGCAGAGACGGTCAGAGGGAGAAGCAGAATCCCCATGGAGCAAGGAATCCTCCTGATGTGAGGGACTCGATCCTGGGACTCCGGGATCATGACCTGAGCAGAAGGCAGTCACCTAACCAACTGAGCCACCCAGGTGCCCCAAGAGGTGTGTTTTTAAATCTCATGTTATTATTGTGGACTTGTCAACTTTTCCTTTACTTTGCTGAGTTCCTGCTTTATATATCTCAAACCCCTTTTAAGGTGCATACAAATTCATTTATTTTTACCTCTTTCTGGTAGATTGTATCTTTCGTCAATGCCAAATGTTCTTCTTCCTTCCTATCAATGTTCTTTTGCTTTACTTCATTTATTAGTTCATTCATTATTAATAATACATTTATTATAGTAATTAATTATTCATTTATTATTTGCCTGGATTTACTAATACCCTGCTTGCCTGTGGTCAGTGTTGACCAGGCATAATTTTTCTTTTTCTTTTCAACTTTCATGTGCAGGTCTGCTTTTCTTTTTTTTTTTTTTTTTTAAGATTTTATTTATTTATTTGACAGACAGATATCACAAGTAGGCAGAGAGGCAGGCAGAGAGAGAGGAGGAAGCAGACTCCCCACGGAGCAGAGAGCCCGATGCGGGGCTCGATCCCAGAACCCTGGGATCATGACCTGAGCCGAAGGCAGAGGTTTTAACCCACTGAGCCACCCAGGTGCCCCGCAGGTCTGCTTTTCACCACGCCTCTTATACATGACATACAGCTAGACTTTAGAGTTCTAATCAGAGCATCTTTGTCTTTCATTGATGTATTTAACCTAGTCATATGCTTGGGATACTGACATACTTGGTCTCCTTGCTACCATTGCTCCATATGCTTTCTTGCTACAAATTCTCTGCTTCCTTTGTGTTCCTTCTTGCCTTTTTTCCGATGTATCAAATCACACTCCCTTTCTTTTCCTCAAAAGATTGGAAATTAGATTTTACTTTTTTTTTTTAAATTTTGTTTATTTGTCAGAGATCGAGGGAGCACAAGCAGGGGGGAGCAGCAGGCAGAGGGAGAAGCAGGCTCTCCGCTGAGCAGGGAGCCCAAGGCAGAACTCGATCCCAGGACCCTGGGATCAACACCTGAGCCGAAGGGAGACACTTAGCCGACTGAGCCACCCAGGTGTCCCCACGTTTTCTTATTTCTAATCTTCAGTAGTTACCTTTAAACTTACAACGTGTGTGCTTTAATTGCTCCCTGTTAAGTGTGCGTGGCCTCTGTCAGAGCCCTCCCGGGACACCCTGGGATGTGCCTGCTCCTTGAA